CAAACCCTACTGACATCTTTCGACAACATTCTTCCACGAACTAATGAATACCAACATGCCTTGTTGCATTTTATAGGTGTGTGTGTGTTCACCTGAAATAACCGTCTTCGACGTTGGACTGTGCTGCTGCACTTTTTCCTTCCTTTCTCTCGCCACCGGCCGACGAGATTTGATAGAAGCCCGCTCAGAGGAAGGACAGACTTTTGATTGATGGACCCACTGAGCCCATATTCTAAGGCCCAAGTAGATTTTTTGTGGTCGAGTCAAGCCTAGGGCCCCATTCTCATTTTTCTTATTATTTGCCAAATTAATTAAACATTTTTTTCCTAAACCGCCTCCATGAAATTAATTAAAGATTCAAACTGAAATAGGAAACATTTCCTATTTCAAAACTCAAGCATAATGTTTTCCCCATTTAGGGCACTAGGTTAAAAAAAAAAAAAGGGGTAAACTTGATGAGATGGAAGTCATCTTGAGTTTTCACCTCCCTACATTAATGGTCATATACTTGAATCATTATCATATATATATATATATAAAGGTTAAATTTTTATTACTTGGTAAAAAGATTTTAATACATAAATCCTTAGGGTATGTTTTGGTTTGAGGGAAGAAATGAATTTTGACGAATTAAATTATTAAATTAGCTAATGTATTTAGTTGGTAAAAAATAAAAAAATCATTTCTCTTCTCTTCTCCCTTCAAACCAAACAAACTCTTACAACTTATTTTGTCAAAAAATTTTGTCGATAAAAAGAAATTACATAACAAGATTAAAAAAAAAAAGAAGATAAAACTCCAAAATTGTCACAAATAAAAAGGAAGAGAGAACAACAAGAACTCAGCTGAGTTGGTAAAAATTTCTAATTTGAAGCATTCATTAAAATTCTTAATTTGGAGTTAACATTAGAGATTCAAAACTCTACAATGCTATGCAACTTTCTTTTTTTTTTCAAAAAGCAAATATCTTTATTGAGTGAATACAAGGGGTAATTAATAAAGTACAATGGGTAACCAAACCCAAGTACATTCTTTCAATCCCCATATTATTGAAAAAATGAGTGCAGCGTGCATAAACCCATTACAAAATTTTGCAGCACCTGGGATTGAGAATCCAGTCTGATAGGCAGAATTGGCGTTCCTTCCCTTTGTTGCTTAACCCACTGGAAAGCCAGTAACTGTACTTGATACGCTATGCAACTAATATTTGGGCAATGCATAAAAAATAAAAAATAGAAAACAAAATAAAAAAGGACAGTAATTGGTGCACACTTCATTTAATACACTGTATAATATACTCATTAAAAAATTAATATTTTTTTGTCTAAAATTAAAAACAAACAAGCATAAACATAGATTATGCATACAAGATACAGGAATTAACTAAATTAATTGCATTTATCTTATCTTTTTAATGAGTGAACCAAAAGTGTGTCAAAAAATATGTTGAACCGAATGTGTATCAATCATTTTTCAATAGAAAAAGGATGGTTTAATTATTTTTGATAAAAAAAAAAAAAAGCAATATGGAGAAGAATTATTAAGGAATTGTATGGGATGGGAAGGGCTGAATGCTAGGAGGGATGTGTGGGAGATAGGAAAGGGCCGGCATGGTGGAAAGGGTTACGGAATATTGAAAGGGAGAGTACTGCTTTTGATGGCAGAGGAAAGTGATAGGGGACGGTAAAGACACTCTATTTTGGGAGGATGTGTGGGTAGAGGAGATTAGGTTGAAAGAAAATTTTCCTAGGATGTTTCGCTTAACCTTAGATAAAAAGGAAAAAAGGGTGGATCTAGGTAGTTGGAAGGAAGGGGTATGGGATTGGAGGTGGAATTGGTGTAGGGAGCTATTTGTGTGGGAGCTAGATATTGTACAGGAGATGCAGAGCTTCTGCAATCAGCAATTATTCAAAAAGGAGTTGAAGATAGTTGGTGTTGGAGATAGGAAAAAAATGGACAACATTCGGGAGATCAACCTACAACAAAATAAACGGTGAATCCAAAAGGAATGGTCCGGAGTGTTTCAAACACGTATGGAATTCTTCAGTGCCTCTAAAGTTGTTAGCCTTAATTAGCGTGGAGAATGGTTATTGATAGACTACCAACAAGAAACAACTTATCCAAAAGAGGCGTGATCAAGGAAATAGAGGAAATTCACTGCCTGCTGTGCTCAAAGGAGGAGGAAAACATTGATCATTTGGTAACTGAATGTGAGAGCTCGAGGAAGGTATGGGCGACTGTTTACTCTTGATGGGGCATCTCAGCCATAGCTCATAATGTTAAGAAATATGAAATAGCAAAAGAATAAAAGAATTGTTTTGAGGCATGATCTCACTTTCTTTAAGGATTTAAAATCTTTCATGATACAATAAAACTCAAAACTCAGAATTAAATATAGAACTCTAACTTTGCATAGTAATTTATAATATACTATTGGAAAAAGCAGTATATTCGACAGAGGATTCTATCGAATATGAATGGTTTTTTGTCGATTAAACTATAATCGACAGACATATTCGACAACTTTTTTTGTCGAATATACTGCAGTCGATAATCAGTATATTCGACAGCCAATTTTTCTATCGATTAAACAAGTGTAATCGACAGAATTTTATTGTCGAATATAGGGATTATCGACAGAATTTCTTAGCTAGATTTATAATTTTGTCCAGTTATCTTCGACAGCCAGAAGCTGTCGATTAAACTTGTTTAATCGACAGCTTCTGGCTGTCAAACATGTTTTTTTTTTTCTGGATTATATTCGACAGCAATACGCTGTCGAATATACTTGC